CTTTTTTGACGATTAACCATATTTACCTTTATTTGTCCAGACTTGAGGATGATCTTTGTGTGCTGCCTGCCAATTGGCTATCTCAGCTTTATAAGGACCTGGAAGTTCAAGGCATTTCTTGGAAAGACAGGTTATTCTAGATTGAATCGAACATATTGGCATTTTCTTATCAATGTTCATGGTTTTGAAGTTCATGTTTTTTGTGCTTCTACTTGATAATTTCTTCGTGTTGATGGTTCAAAGTTCAAACCAGTTCTTCCATTAGAGTCCTTCAATGACATAAACAACTAGATGAATAATGAAATACAGATGGTGTATTTGGTTAAAAAAAAGAATAAAGGATGAATGGAGTATAAAATCTGGCAATCTGCGGGAGAAAATATTAAGGAGATTTGAGAAGGATTTCAAATCTCTTATGTTGATGATTGGAATGAAATAACTAGGAATACTATTTTCATTTTTTGGCATACTTTGGGATGCTCAAGGGATGAAGAAACAAAGAAAAAAGTTCCCTTTGAAGATTTAAAATAAAAACCTGGAGCACTATGCATAATTGTGTGAAATGGTCATTGAGCAACCCACTATTTTTTTTCCTTTCCTTGATACAGTCAAACATGGCTCTTTTGCTGGATGGTAGATGGAAATGACATTATTTCATTTATTATGACGTGACAAAAAACACGCTTAATCTCATCATATCTTGATGTCATATTGCTAAGTTATTGCTTCTCTTCTTGCAGTGGAGCTTGACATTGATAATGTTTGTGCAGAATTGGTGAAGAAGAACTCCATAGATTTTATACTGCTGCAGATGGTGACTTTACGCGGTTGCTTTCATCTGTAAGGAAAACTATCCAATGGAGAGAGACTTATAGAATTATTTCTGGCCATGAACTAGACACGTGGTCAAATCTGGTATTTTGGCATGGATTTGATGTGAAGCAGAAACCTCTACTTATAGTCCGTCTTGGTTTAGCTTGCAGTAGCTTGCCATTCTCTGACAGACAATGCTTTGGTCAAGCAGTTGGTATGGTTTTATGCCTGCATTTGTCGCTTTCTAGTAATTTTTAACATTCCCTTTCTCTTTTCTTAGAGAATGAGTGTTTTCTTTAGTAAGTCCAAAATATTACAGTGCCCATCTGACTTTCTTCAACCTTAGGGGTACATTTTGAACACGGAAGTACTAGTGAAAGAAAATAGGGAGGAAATAGAGAGCAATTGGAAGGGAAAGATTCTGGAAGAAAATAAAAGATAGACTCATTTGTTTGTTTATTTATGGTAAATAAAGAATAGGATAATCAAGATGTATGCAAAGAAAAAAAAATCATATTTCACTCTCCCTTTAATTTCATAGGTTAACATAAGAAAACTGCTTTTTTAAATAGCATTTTACCATTTCCCTAGGTTTTTCTGAATAGTTGCTTGGCTCAAGGAATGTCATATTACCCTAGGAAAGTTGGATCACTATAATGTTTTCGAACTGTGTTTGGTTTATACTTTCTGGTTGTTCGTATTCATAATTATCTGTTGTATTCAATCAATTTTCTTTTTCATCTGAAGTATCTCAGGTATATTACGGCATCATGCATCTAGCAGACCGAAAGAATCCTCAAATAACCGTTTTGGTTGACTGTGAGGGCTTGTCTCCTTTCAGATTTCCTATGCAGATGTTAAAAACATGTTCTACTCTTCTGCAAACCCACTTTCCAAATTCCCTTGGATGCTTATTCGTTATAAGGCTTCCATCTATTATTCGAGTTGTTGCTCAAACTTTTGTGCAGGTGTGCCTTAAACTTTTGTTTTCTGGTCTGGTTGTTACTTAGGTCTGTTTGGAACTCGGGATTTACCATACAAAGAAAATTTGGAGGAAAATAAATTTGAAGGAAAGAAATTTTATTGTATAAACACTAACTCACTAAGAAGCCTATATAATGTGATTTGCATATACATTAGCTCAAGTAAAACCAAACATAATAGAGTAACTTCTTTTCGGGTATTCTGAGATTCAAACACACCTTTAATAGTTTTCTTGAAGGCTTTTGTGGAAAATAAAAAAGGAAGTTCATATGATCTCTCAATTTTTGCCCAAATCTACAACAGGTTTTAAAACCCATCACCCGGCAAAAACTGAGATTTTTAGGAGAGAATTACCAGAAGGTTCTTTATGAGTGTGTAGAGGCACTCCCGCCATATCTCGGCGGGTCCTGCACATGCCCAAGATGTGACATTGGCCATACGCACACTGAAGAGGAGATGCCCAAGTCCGAATCAGATTTGAACCGTGAAGAAGATCTAGGGTCATCTCTTTCGGGCGAAAGGATGGATGTATCACATGGTGATGCTAACTCTGATCAGGTACTCAGTATGGCTCTACTGGGTTTCCTTGTTTTTGCAGTATTATTATATGCCTATATTTCTGGAGTTTATGGTCCACAAACCGGCCGTGTTGTACCTCCTTGAGGCAATCTTGTACATAGTTACTCTCAGTGGATATCAATTTCTGCTAAAGATTGCTAGGTGTGCTTGTGTGTGAAACCTTTGCCCCCCCCCCCCCACCCCACCCCACCCCAAGAAATGAAGCAGCAAAGGTCATTGTAATAGTCCTCTAAGAAATGAAGCCAATTGTTGGAATAAATTAAGCTTACACAAGTGTTTTGTCTTATCAATTACTCATACATTTTTTTTCTTTTAAATATGAAGGATATTTTTGTATACTCAGTGGCTCACTATGACATCGTTCGGTTCGACTTAATTTCAGTACTCTTCAGTTTAATACTCCCATTTAGTTTAGCTCTACTGGTTAGTTCAAACTTATGTTACAATCAGTTCAGTTGTCATTCAGGTAAAACGGCTCCTAAATGTAGACCCATATTGGGTTCAAATGAACTCTCAAGCCTGGGTAAAATTGAGTGGAAATTACATGATCGTGATCAAAATGAGCCTATATTGTTGTGGTAGTGCTCTGTAAAATGGGTCGATTTGTGAGCCTTTCTTGTTCATTCTTAGTTAAAAAAATTGCTACATTCTGGTAAAAAAGGACTATAGTGTATGGAAAAGGGATTTGATTGGATAACATTTTTATTTATTTTTATAACATTATTATTCATTTTGTTTAAATACTATTCACAATCTATCTCATTAAAATATCAACGCATTTTAATTATATAGATTTAATTTGGGGGGTCTAGCTATATGGTTTATTTAATTAATTATCAAAACGTAGCTATTTATTGTCCAATTAGTAGCAAATATATATTATGAGTAAGAGCAGCGGCAGTGGCGAGGGGTTTGGCTGCCATGCCACGCCACCTCAGCCCAAAGCTCCACTTTTTTTCTTTTTGTCTCGCGTGTCATCTTCAATTTACCATGCATGGAGTGTCTTGAGTGTGGCATTCTTTTTTTTATTTAGTTTTTTGATAAAAAATAAACATCAATTTTTTATTTGAAAAAGATACTTGTGATGAGTTAATGAAATTGTGCAGTGTTTCCAAAAAAAGATTTTTTTTGTAAAGTAATAGAATTATTTTTTACTTTCTTCATCTCGCAATAGATTATAATTTTTTCCCTCATCTCTCGATATCTTTTATTTATTTGTATGTTTTCTTTGGTTATTTAATTAAAAAAAATTTGTCACATCCTTTTTTGTAGAAATTTTGATGTAATTTTTAAATTTATAAGTTTTATTTTTAATTCTTATACCAATTTTTAAATGAAATGATTTTTAAAAATAGAGAGTTTTTGCATCGTAATTCTAAAATAATAATCTAAATTGAGATGAATGAATAAATAAAAATATGGAGTAGATAACAAAAACATTTTTAATAATTAATATATATATATATATATATAATTATTTATTTGAGTAAATAGAAATATTTTCATGATAAAAATATATAAGTAAAATAATTTTTAATAATTCAAATATGACAAAAATATGAAAAAAGTGATGAAAACATTGACTTGCCACTGCAAGGCATGCCACACTGCAAGGCATGCCACTCGTTGACTGGACTGTTTTTTATTGATTGAAATGCTCCACGTCAGCGTTCATTCCATTTTTGCCTCACCATTGTTCATGCTCTAACAAAAATGAAGGGAGTTTGTTGATATAAATAATAATGAAGGCTATGATATTCACAAAGAATATGAGTGGTTAATGGGCTCTTGAAGTACATTTCAGCATAATCACATAGTGTGAAATAAACTTATTATTTCTAAATACCAGATCTTTCAATGACTTGGATCGAGAAATAGAATTCTCACAAAAGTTAAATTAAACAAATTTATGAAGGAGAAGAAGAAAAGTCAAATTGTGATAGCTAGCTTTGTTGCAATATGTTATGTAGTTTGGAGGACCGGAAATATGAAAATTAAGCAGTATAAATGTATTTTTCTAAAATAGTAGGCTTCTATTGTGTTTGAAGGTAGTTGTGTTGAACTTGTATTTTGGATGACTTTTGACGGGGTTGAATAAAATTTTATTCATTTGTTCAAAAAATATATTAAAACAAATAAATACTCTGTAAATCACAAACATGAGTTGACAACAAGCATTTACGGGAGTATTCATGTAAATTTTATTCGTAAATACAAAAGTAATCTAGACTATTTTGTATCGATTTATATTTTCAAAAAATTATATTATCATTATTTGAGTAAAATATAATAAAGATAATTACAACAAAATATGAAATTTGGAGACTATTGGAAAAATAAATGTGAATTTATTTTTGCAGGGATGACAAAAAATGTAGATAGTCATCAAAAATGCAAAAATGTGAAAAGGCCAACAATATCCTAGCGAGGTAGAAAAAGGACAAAAACCTCAAAAAGCACAATCCGCGCCTTCACACAATTGTCCTATTTCATTCGTCGATTCCTTTAAGATCAACGGCCCACGTACACGTTCGCCTTCAAGCCGGATTGCCATCCTACACCGTCGATTAGCTTCCTAATCGAACGATCACGATTGATTTACAGAGGTTCAGTTTCTACGCCAACCTCCCGGAGCCGAAGTATAAATAGCCTCCCCTTCATCCTCGATTTCCATCATCAGAACTGAGTTTCCAATTCAGAACCCTAATCGTCTTTCTTCATTGAATTGGTTTCTGCAAAAATGTCCGGCCGTGGTAAAGGAGGCAAGGGATTGGGAAAGGGAGGCGCCAAGCGTCACCGGAAAGTTCTCCGGGACAACATCCAGGGCATCACCAAGCCGGCAATCCGCCGTCTGGCCCGCAGAGGCGGCGTGAAGCGTATCTCCGGCCTCATCTACGAGGAGACCAGAGGCGTTCTGAAGATCTTCCTCGAGAATGTGATCAGAGATGCGGTGACCTACACGGAGCACGCCCGGAGGAAGACTGTTACGGCGATGGACGTCGTCTATGCGCTCAAGAGGCAGGGAAGGACTCTGTACGGTTTTGGTGGATAGAAATGTTATCGATTCCGTTCACTGGTTTCTTCTTCAATCGGAGTGTTCTTCAATTAGATCTGTTAGTCTAGTTTTAATTTTACTGCTTATGCGAACTGGGGAAAATGTATAAGTTTGGCAATTCAAGAAATTTAAGATGGATTTCTTCAGATTATACTGGTGTTTGAAGATTTTCTTCTTCATATGCTTTGATTTTTATTTGAAACGAAGTTGTTTTTTGTCATATTATTGAGAATATCAAATTACGCCAACTTCAAAGCAATTTACGCTGTCCTAGAATTTGGGTACCGACTCTTTTTGGAAGCCATTAATATGAACTTGTTTGTGAGTTCTAATCGTCACCATTGAGAATGGATGTCTCTAGCTTATGTGTTCTTGGAGCTTTTTCTGATCCTGAGCTTTAAGTGCTATGGGAGCTCTTTGGTGTTAAACTGCTGAGAGAAGTTGCCTGAAGAAGATAACCAGCTTTCTTATATTGCAGTTTGTTCCCTAACGTTTCTCAGGAGCTTCTGTTTTTTGTTCACTGCGTCTTATCGGCAAAGAAGAAGATAACCAACTTTTTTAAATTACAGTTTGACCCAAGAAGAAGATAACCAAGTTTTTTAAATTACAGTTTGACCCCTAACTTTTCTGAGATTGGGAAATCGATCATAAGTCAGATTTTGATTTTTGACCTACAAAGTGTCCAAATAAAATGAGAAGAGCAATGTTAGACCAACTCCAATGCACCCTTTATAATCTTAAAAATAAATGGTTTACACTTTACTGTAGATAAAATAGAGCTTCAATGGGTCATTTAAATTTTAGAGCATTAGTTATTTTTAACTTTACATACTCTATATATAGATGATCATTAGTCATATGCTATAAATAAAATGAGCAAGGTTCCCATGACATCAATGTCATGGGATGACTCGGGGGCGCTCCGGTACCCCGTTCGTAAATTGACGGTTCCTACCCCCTAACCTCCCGGTAAACCCTTCCACCCCGCCTCGACCCGAACGCACCCCCCACCCCTTCAATTGCACCCCACAAATTGATTTTGACTTTGGAGTCAAAATTTGGTGGAAAAATATTATTATAAAATAATTCTAAATTATTATAAAAATTTAAAAAATAAATGATGTGGTTGGAGAGGTGGTAGAAAAGTAGAATACTAAATCACTGTTGGGAAGCTAAAATAGCATTTAGCTTTCCAATTTTTAGCACATCCATTGGAGATGCTCTTAGGACTTAGGGGTACACCAAAAGTGTATCCCATCTGTACACCACTCCTTTCTCCACCACTCATTTTTAATTAATTTTTATTTTTTTTTTGATTTTTTGCCCAATTATGGGGACAAAAGGGGGCTGACAAATGGGGTATATCTTTTCAAATGAGAAATGATATTCTTTGGTTTCAATTTTGAGTATTTTATTAGGGAAAATCGATTCGAACCAACCTAATAGAATATTTAAAACTAATAAAAATGCACACTAATACTTCTAAAAATATGATTTTTTATGAAAATTCTCCAAGATTTGATAATTAACATTTTTGTTCTATTTTTTTTTATATATTTTCATGTCATTATTCACCACTGGTTCAGTTAGCTGTACTTGAAAAAAATTTACTTTTCGTTTTAATCTTATTAGGAATGAGAGTTCTAGGTCTTCATACGCATTGTGTTCATACTTTTGTTTCTTTCGTATTTAACTCCATAATTAATTTTTTTTCGCTTGATTTTTCTCATAAATTTAAAATATTTATAAATATTTCATCTATTACTTCCTCCATCTTTTTTTAAATCGTCCATTTTGACTTTAGGATATATTTAAGGAAAAGAAAAGATAGAGTTAAGTTTCTAAAATTGTCATTACTTTTTAGGAGGAGTGACGATGAATGAGAAGATAAGGTGGAGAAAATGACTTATTTTAAGGACAGTTTAGGTATTTTTACTTTTAAAAGTTTATAACAATAAAAAATAGACAACTTATTTTGAGACGAAGAAAAAAGAAAAACTGACAATTTGAAATGTGACAGAGTGAGTATGTATTACTCCGTAATAGTTTGAGTTTGATTCTCCGCGGAGTTCAATAAACTAGATATATATAATTGAAAGTGATGTAAATGAAGTAATTACCTATACCAAAACATATAGTTAAATAAAATTTAGATTTTTTAAATAATTAAAAGACTTATGACTTTCTTTTTTAATAAATTTAAAATTAAAAAAAAGAGTACTCAATATATAAGTTAGTTTTTTCACGTAAGAACTGATCGGGCAAGTAGAGAGTAACAACATTAAAATTTTAAAAAATTGTGACCAAGGGTGTTAATTATCAAATCTGGGAATATTTTCGCAAAAATCACATTTTTAGAAGTATTTGTATGAATTTTTATTAAAACTAAAGATATATATATATATATATATATATATATATTTNTTTATATATATATATATATATATATATATATATATATATATATATATATATATATATATATATATATATATATATAAAGGCAAATTCTTATGTGCATCTATGTTCCATGTTCATTATATGAACCTTAGTGCATTTGTAGTATAAAAGAAGTATGTCTTTTTTAAAAAAATATCCATTTACATGCCAATGAAAATTATGAGAAAGTCCATTTTTTAAACGTGAACTTTGAATTAAACTGGACAACTATACTGAAGTAAAGGAAGCAAAATATTTGAAAATTTAACATAAAAAAATCAAACGGGAAGAAATCTCAAAAGAAATGGGATTAGTAATTTTTGTTTGACGTTAATGCGGGATTAAAAAAGAATTTGAAATTGAAAATGGCGTGAAAAGTTGAAACCCGCTCCGTTCCTCAAAAGTTCAAACGCTTCTGAAATTTCGCAAAGAAAAACACATTTACCGCCAGTCAAAATCGTTCCATCGCAATCGTCGATTCGTACACGATCAACGGCTCACGAACAGTTTCTGCTCTTGAATCGGATCGCCATTACTGACCGTCGATTAACCTCCAGCAATCAACGATCAAGATTAAACCACCCATTTATCTCAACCCGGAGCCGAGATATATATAAATCACCTCCCCGCAGTCTCATCTTCAACCATCCAAATCGGAGTTAGAAAATCTGCCCAATCAAAAACCCTAAGCATCTTCCCGACTTCAATCTCACTCTCTGCAAAAATGTCCGGCCGTGGAAAGGGAGGCAAAGGCTTGGGCAAGGGCGGCGCCAAGCGTCACCGGAAAGTTCTCCGGGACAACATCCAGGGCATCACGAAGCCGGCCATACGCCGTCTGGCTCGCAGAGGCGGCGTGAAGCGTATCTCCGGCCTCATCTACGAGGAGACCAGAGGCGTTCTGAAGATCTTCCTCGAGAATGTGATCAGAGATGCCGTGACCTACACGGAGCACGCCCGGAGGAAGACCGTTACGGCGATGGACGTCGTCTATGCGCTCAAGAGGCAGGGAAGGACTCTGTACGGCTTCGGCGGCTAGAAATTATACTGATTCCGTTCAGCGTTTCTTCTCCATTGGAGAATTCTTCGTCTAGATCCTCTGCTTTTGTTATTCTGCTGCTCATTGTGAACTCAGAACATGTGTAATGGTAACTATTTGGATAATCGAAGTGTTTTTTTCTTTGTTTTGCATATTTTCTTCTGATGATTTCTTCTTCAATCAATTATTTTCCATCGGATTATCAGGGAATTTCAGTTTCTAAAATTATACTCCTTAAAATATTTGAGTTATCAGTGTTTGATTTGAAATAGATACAAGTAAATAATTTAAATTGAGATTAACAAGTAATCAAGTATTGTTACATGTCCCACAATTGAAGACAAATAAATTACAGAACATATTGATGATAATCTGTTTACACACTGAAAAACTTTCCAAATAACATTTCTTGTGGAGCACATTGTTGATAAGAAGAGTTTATTCAATGCAAACGTTATGTGTAATTTTTTTTAGAATTTAATGGTTTGTGGATATTTAATCGACATTTTAAAGAGTTATTTAAAATTTGAGTGTATTCTTTTGAGAGTTCAAAAAGTCATTTCAAATCTAAATTAAAAATTTGAAATCTCTTTAAATGTAATGGTATTAAAAAATTAATAGATTTTCAAAGATTTTCATAAAAAAGGATTGATCAAATGGTAAATATGCATGTGGCTAGAGGAAGAAGTAGACCTAAGAGAACTTGGCAAACATTGATCAAAAGAGACATATGCATAAATGGTTTCATAGTAGATATGATACATGATAAGGCACAATAACATCGTTTGATCTATGTAATCGAATCTAGTGAGATAAGAATTTGTTGTAATTGTATGGATTGTGTAGTATTTTTGGGTTTGAGTAAAAATAAAAATCTAATTGAAAATCCTTTTGAAAAATCTAAACATTTTGTCGAATTCTATTCCATCTTCGATTGTAACAAATTCGCAGGTCATTCTTTTTTATTAACCTTTTCACGTAAGCTATTACTCCCTCCGTCCAGGAATAAGCTTCCTACTTTGACTTTTTCTTATATTTAGTGAGGGTTGAATACATCATCAAAATGTCCAAATTACCCTCCATTTGCCCCCCACTATCATTCCTTTGCACCAGCACCACCGCCGCCGCCCCTCCACCGCCCCACCACCCCACTGCTACCCCTGACCCACACCCCCACCGCTGCACCAGCGTCATCGCCGGCCCATCGTTGCCTCAGCCTCACCACCACCGCACCGCACACCGCTGTTCTGCCCCCACAGCCACAGATCTAACACAAATCTACAAGAAGGAGAAGAAGAAGAAGAAGAAGAAGGTGGAGCGGGAAAAGAGCATATGGCCAGATCTAGCCGAGAAAGGAAAGCGAAGAAACCAGAAAAAAAGAGGAAAGAGAGAGGGGGGAGAGAGAGAGATGAAGATAAGGCCAGATTTGGCCGTGGGGATTACTGGGGAAGAAGGAAATCTTGAGGAAAAAAAAGGAGAGGGGGGAAGAGAGAGAGGGAGAAGTGGGAAAGAAAAGATATAGAAGGGGGGTTGCGGAATGGCGATTGAGAAGGACTAGAAAAGAAAGGGGAGAAGGGAAGGAGAAGAAGGGTAATTTTGGAAGGGTGGGTATGAAAAAGTAGAGTAGGAAGATTTTTTTAGGACGAAAAAAAAGATAGAGTAGGAAGTTTATTCTTGGACGGATGGAGTACTTCAAAAGGATTAATCTGTTTTCTACTTTGAACTTTAGATAAAGTTCTCTTTTTTAGAAGCAATGCTTTCAAATAACTATAAATTCTTGAGACTATTTTTGATTTAAATATTTTTTAGTGTTATAATGTTTCTATGAACACCTAAGAGTATATGCAAAACTTTTAAACTTTTATATCATTATGGCTTCAATACCATACTCGTTGATTAATATGATAAAGTAATCAATTATAGAGATGGCATCAAAGGGGTATACTCGAATTCGATTTCTTACAAACTGCGTTGGGAGGCAATTATACCAAACATTGAGCCTCTGAAAGTACTAGGTGCAAGTTCCACTTTCAACCACCATCCGCCAATTTGCATTTAAAATCCATTTTATCTCTCTCAATGATCGTTTGGATGGGTCCAAAGGAGCCCTCGAAAATGGGACTCATCCTTAACTATATAGAGGGCTTTATTCTTTGGGTCGGAAAAGCACGAGCTAGATTTCTTATTTTTTTAACCACTTATTTCTAATTTACCTGAACTTCTAACCAATTCTGAAGGAGTAAATTGAACGTCCAACCAATTTTGAGGATTCCTTAGAGATGAGATTCATCTTTTTTTCTTTTCTTTTTAATATCTAAATACATAGTTTTAAAAATTGGACCGGACCTTCCGGTTCAGACCGAAAACCGGAGAAACACAAGTCAAATCGATCTGGTCCGACCCTTTAGACCGCTTTGCAGAGTGAACCGTTTGAACTGGTAAGAACCGGCCAGTTCACCCGGTCGAACCCGTTTTTTTCTATCCATATGTTTCAAACCTTATACTTCTAGTATGTTATATCAAGCTATCCACCAACTAAGCATGAATGTTTTTTTATCACATACTTGTCCCAAGTAGTATATACTCTGTAATTAAAAGAATAAACATGTATTAAAAAAATTATTTATTAAAAAATACAGTTCATTCTAATACGGAGTATGTTTTGCAAAAAAATTCTTTCGAATATTTTTGGATTTTCGACAAAATATATACAAAAAATATTAACATCCTTATTTTTTAAAACTTTTAATGTACTTCTCGATATGTAAATTTTATTTTAAGTATAAATTAACTAATAAAATAAATTAAAATTGTTATAATTTCAATCAGACATCATAAAATCGTATGTACAGACGAAAGGAGTTATTTTTATTTTATACAAAAACAAAATTATTATAATTTCAATCAAACGTCATTAAATATGCTTGAATAACTTATTCAACCACTTGAGTCATTGATTTGACTAATTAACTAGTAGCTTGACCGGTTGAGTCATGAGTCCGATTCTTAAAACCATGTCTAAATAGGACATAGTACAAATGTAGAAGGGATATGTGAAATTATAGTACTAGTAGGCAAGCTTGTACTCTTGGAGCACTTTCCAATTCAGACACTTTCTAGGTTTACATTTACAGAGTAAATAAAAAAAAGAAAAGAAAGAGAAAGAGCCGTCCTGCTAAAGAAGGCGGACACTTGCTGAGCTTCCCACCAAAGAAAGCAATCGTCTTTCTTATTGTCAGCCCTTCTCCCCGCACTCTACATCTCCAGCTTGGCCTCCATTCTTCCCGGCCTCAATCAATTCTTCACATATTTCCTTCCCTGCCCAGATTCGAATGCGGACCGACGACGACGGCGTTGTGATCCAGAGAGGGAAGCGACCCGGCGACCCGTACATGGTTACGGTCAATTGCCCGGATAAGACCGGCCTCGGTTGCGATATCTGTCGAACCGTTCTTGAATTCGGGCTCCATGTCACTAAAGGAGGTGATTTTTTTTTCATTAATTAATAGTATTTCCTGGTTTATTAGGTTTCCAGGTTACCCAGTTTCTAGCTTTCAATGGGGTGTTTCTTCTTCTTCTTCTTCTTTTTTTTACTTCTAATTATTTTCACTGTTTTATTAGCTACTCATGGAGTCTGGATTAGCTTTTAGTTCTGGTTTTTCTCTTGTAGTACAGAATAGTGAGTATTTTTTTTTCTTGTTTTGATTTTGTGTGTTCACTGCAATTCGTGTTCCCTGTGAACTATTCTTGGACAGTGACTGAAAATCTCAGCTCAAGCCGAGAAGGGAAGGGTCAATCTCCCAAAATACATCGACCTAGAAGCAAAATATGGAATTTTGGATCAATTTTTTGTACTCCAAGCTATAACTAGTGCTCGGCCTTTCCTCGTCTAATGACAGGCCTGAATGTATAACACCCATTGTTGGGTCCAAGCTATGACTAAGTTTTAAAGTGCCGTCTTTCCGTCTTCATCTCTTCTTCTTTGTCTCAATCATCGTCTTTTCTTTGTCTCCCTCCGTGCTACTTCTCCCCAAAGCTGTCAGAGATTGCTGCCCCTACGCCTTAAGAAGAGTAGGAGCAAAAATATTTCACGGCTTTGAAGATGAAAGTCAAAATACTGTCCTCACTAATCTCTTTCTCTGTGAGGCTTGGAGGAGAACCCATAGCGTAACTGAGAGGAGGAAGTCAAGAAAAGACCAAGTCTGAGACAAAGACCAAGAGACCATAGGCACCATACTTCATAACCTAGTCATGGTTTGGATCAATCAGCGTTAGTGCTGGCAAATCGGTCGGGTTTAGGTTTGGTCATTACGGGTTCAAGTTATTTCGGGCTCGAGTTGAGAACTGTATGTTCATGACCCAGTGTAATCGGGTTCGGGTCGCCCCAACGGGTTATGAATTTGTTTTTTAAAATTTTTAAATTCACATTAACACTTGCTTTTTGTATTAAATAAATTTAAAATATCAAAAATATGTATTAAATCTATTATACTATTTTATTTAAAATTCCGAAGTAATTTTTAGATATATAAATCAATATAATAAATTTAAGAAATGCTTAAGTTTAAGACTAAAGTAAGATAATTATCTAATATCATTAAAATTTTGTCTGAAAACAAACGAGTAGTAAAGTGTATGATTTTGAAAAACTCTTACTTTAGTGGGCCGGTTAGTTCGGGTTCGGTCGAGTTTGACCCATTTTTAACGGGTCATTTTTTGCCAGGTCTAATCAGCGTATTACATTCAGGCCTGCCATTAGTACCTATTCAATATTCAACTTTGTATGAGGAAGACCCACCTTAGTCTATCTGGTGTAATCCGTTCTCTTTTATGTGCATGTTGAAATTTTTTCTTTTGCACCAAACAAGGTGCCGATAGCATCAAAATTTTAGCTTTGTTATTTCGTGTTAGTTGTTGAGAACGAAAAGCTTATCACTAACCTCATAATTATTGTTCAAAACAGATGTTTCAACTGATGGGATATGGTGCTATGTAGTGTTGTGGGTGTCTCCTCAACCTTACACCCCTAACGTGAGATGGGCCAATTTGAAGGAATGCCTTTTGTCTATCTGCCCGCCATGCTCTTCTCTACTTTATTTGAATCAATACTCTCCTTCCACTCCCACTTCCTCCATATACCTCTTGACGTTTTGTTGTGTTGATAGGAGAGGGCTATTGCATGGTAATGAAGAATGCCTTGCTTTACTTCAAGCCTTTCGTTGTTGATTTACATTGCAATCTGATGTTGTTTTATGAATATGCTAGATGTTACCAAATTTCTTTGTGAGTTTGAGTTATCCATCGAAAGAGTAAAAGTGACAACAACACCAGATGGCCGAGTACTGGATCTTTTCTTCATAAAAGATAACTTGTAAGAATTACACGATCTCCTGTTTCTAACAACCAATGTCCAACTTTTAAAGTTTGGTACATAAAGTTATTTTTCATTTTTTTCTTCGGCATCAGGGAGCTCTTAGATGTAAAAGAGAAACAAGAGGAAATATGTGAGAGGTTGCGTGTTGTTCTTGGTGATTCGTGCATTAGATGTGAGCTCAAGTTAGCCGGTCCAGACTTTGAAAAGCTTCAGTACATCTCTGCTCTCTCCCCTTCAGTTGCCTATGAGTTGTTTGGATGTGAATTATCAGAACACGAAGGTCGCTACATACAAGCCCTTAGCTCAGATGTGAGGAAATTGAAGGAAGCTAGTGTGGTCATGGATAATTTCTTGAGTCCTGCTCATACATTGCTTCAGATTAGTTGCATTGATCACAAGGGCTTCCTTTATGACATAATGCGAACGCTGAAGGACAATAATATTAAGGTGATAATTTCTTCTTCACATTCCTCTCTAGAATTTAGCATGTACTTCCGTCCGCCATAGATCTTCCGAAATGCCCTTTTTGTTTGTTCGAGAAAGATGTTCCTATTACTTTTTTTAACATTTAAAATTCCACAACTACACTCACTTACCTTATTTATTACGCCTCACCCGCCTCATTTAATATACTCCACCCACTTTTATTAAGGATATTTTAGTAAACTTTCACCTTTTTTCAGCTCTCCTTTAAAACTACAAAAGGTCAACTTGAGAAAATGTATGGGGGACGGAGGGAGTACTATATTATTGGGACTAATTAGTCCATTGACATTCTTGCTTTTTTAGATAGCATATGGCCGTTTTTCTGAAGCTAATAAGGGCCAGAGGGAACTTGATCTCTTTGTACTGCACAAAGATGGTAAAAAGATTTTGGATCCCGAGAAACAAGCTGCATTGTGCTCTAGGTTGAAGGCCGAATTGCTTCACCCTTTACGCGTGATAATCTCAAACCGTGGGCCAGATACCGAACTTCTTGTGGCCAACCCAGTGGAGCTCTCAGGAAGGGGAAGACCGCGTGTTTTCTATGACGTCACATATTCCCTAAAAGCCCTTGGGATCTGCATCTTTTCTGTAAGGCCACTACTGTTCCTTAACTTGTTACTTTTATTTTACTGACTTGTTGCGGCACGAAACGAATTTGAAAACCCACCCACTGCTCATAATTTGCAGGCGGAGATTGGGAGGCATTCGGCGGGGGATAGGGAATGGGAGGTATACAAGTTCCTCTTGGATGAGAATTGCAGCCATGAGTTGACATCAGTGGTATGCAGAAATCATATTGTGGATAGGGTAAGAAGAACATTGATGGGGTGGTGGTGACTGTGAGGTAAACACAATTTGTACAGTGTATCATGTTCTGCCTACTCTTTTACTGTGTTTTTTTATAGTCAACAAAGGTTGTTTCTTGATGCCACATTCTGTAATGAGTGAGTGATCTTACAATTTGAACTCCAAACATTGTTTGTTATGATAGATTTGGAGAGACTAACACCCAAACTCAGAACTGAAGTCAAGTTATTGTGGCTAAATTGAGCTATAAAAAAAAGTTCAATGGAAGTTTTTTTAATAAGAATTTCAAAATGGTGGGATTTCTTAGCTCGTGATTTGCTAAAGCAGGCGAAGATCAGGATAAGATATACTTCCTCTCTGTACCGAACAAATTGTTCGAGTTTGACTTTGCGGAATTTAAGAAAAAATGTCGTAAAGTAAAAAAGTAGATGATTGAAATTTGGTTGGAGGAAAGACTGAAAGAGAAAGATTATGGATCACACATTCTTTATTTAATTATAAAAGAAAAGAAGTGAGACAATTATTTGAGACGGAATGAAAAAGAAAATGAGACGATGAATTCAAGACGAAAGGAGTATAACAAATGAGATAAACAGATATATGGTTACTCAAACAAATGTATATGTAGAACGAATTATAAGCAAATTAGATGTATGATTATCAATTTCATAACCGTTCAGTCATTTACTAATTGAATGTCCTTAATTAGATACATATAATAACTGTTTTAAACAAATGCAGATACTTTTTCGTGCAAACACATATGGATGTAGACGGTAATCAAATTTTTTATTATCCATCTACCGTCCTAGAGAGAACCACTAACACTAGAGTACTAAGGGAAAAAATGGGTTTGTTTGATCAAAAAACAATTTTTAGAAAAATAATTTCTAGAACAATAGTTTCCGAAGAGACTTGCACATGATTAAAAGTGTCAAACTAAACCAATAAACTTATAAAAACACTAATACAATTGGGGACATGACTACTTCTAAATGTGAAAAAAACAGCTTCATGCCAAAGAACTAAACACTAGGAAGGCGATCTAGTCATCATAAACTAAAAGCAACATCACTTGTATGTATCAGACTGGATAGTCCCAACATTGAAGAATTATCATTCATCAACACAAGAAATTTAATTTAAGAGGGAGGAGGTGGGGTGGAGACTATAGTCTTGCTACTCGCACAATTGGAGCTCTATGGTGTTTCGGTTCGAAAAATTGTTGTAGCCAAGTGACGAGGGGAAAGGAGGTCACACAAGTTGGGGGGAGTGCAAGGGGCATACAGAGGTGTGAACCACCGATGTTTCAAACGCAGCATTGTACGAGTCTCGAGTCATCCCATGACATTGGTGACTAATGTAACATGAAACGTCCAGAGTCTTGTAGAGAGTATATTGTAAAATACTTGAAGAACTCTACAACTGAGTTGGGGAACAAAACTCCACCCTATATCTCAATTAGATAAATATCATAGCTCAACTTCTCATAATCAATCAGAAGGTTTGTCATGAACAAATCAATCCAACCCACCTAGCTTAATCAAATGGAAGAGCAACAGTGGGACAGCTCAATGGCACACACACATCAGAGGTTTAAGTCTCCCTCCCTATCAGTACTTTCTGGTAATCCTAAAAAAACTGAACTTTGCTGCAAATACAAAAGATCCATGGAATCATCATCACAAATTGGTTCATAGTATATAGTCACAACAAGTGTAGAGAAGAAAACAAGGTTGCTGACATCATCAATCCGTCTGCATTGCTTCCGAATGATACTTTGCTAAATCGGCATCGAGATCTTCAGCCGATACCTTTTCTCCGCGGTCTCTTCCTCTCCCTCGGCCTCCTCGAAACCCACGCCCTCTTCCACCTCCACGTGATCTTCCAAAACCTCCACCCCTTCCTTGCCCACTGTTGGAGCAAATGACAAAACAAGACATACAGTACAGAGTTAATGAGATTAATTGATCACAAGTTTCATGTACATATAATGACATGAATGCATATATGTATCAAGTAAGGAATGTAGTCTCTTTGCTAATATAATCAGTTAAAAAATTTGTGTTTTTCGTTTTGCTTATTGTGTTTCATATCCCGAATAAAGCAGGTTTGCTTCATTTGGGAAGTTCAAAACCTCAATATGAAAAATACCCCACTATCCATCATGTTTGGACAATCAATATTATAATTTTTTTAGGTAATTGATTGGGTGCAAAATCTAATGAAATGACCCACTCTTGAGGTGCTCCAAGTGCATGTTCTAGGGAAAAAAATGAATTATATTTATTTAATGGTTTTGCTTAAATCCTTACAAAATGAATTATATTTATTTCTCTCTATATAAATATCAACCAAAAAAATTTCAATTTCTTATAATCATGACAGGTCAAACTTGGAATTCCTTTGTAAGACGGAGGGAGTATTAGTCTACAAAGACCAAACTTTTCACATGATAACAGAGTTTTGCATTTGGTTTGAAGCAAGTGTTTGTCACACAACATGAAACACTAAAACAATGATATTGAGGGTTCAAAAACAAAATTATGTTATAAAGAAACATTGTGCAGGATGTGTGTGTGTGTGTGTGTGTGTGTGTGTGTGTGTGTGTATGTATACACACAGACACATACCTAGGGAGAATTCCATTGAAATTTCCAAAAGAACCCATGGTAGGAGGGGCAGGAGTCACAATGTTTGTGCCGACAATCTCAATCTTCATGGGTTGTCCATCAAGCTGAACATTGTGGTATCTTTTGATGGCTGTTAAAGCATCTTGTCGGCGAGAGAAAACAACATCTGCTGTTCCCTAGACAAATTGATTTTTTCGTCAACCAAACGAAGAATATGCAAGACTAGCCAAAAATTTGAATTCTTCCTAACATATCAATAATTCAATATACCTTTGATCTACCACTCCTGTCATAATGGACTCCATAGTGTTTCATATCTCCAATATCTGCAAAAAGTTCCTGCATAACATTAAGATCAAACCATCATATTAGACAGANATATTAATATATCATCCAACATGGGGAAAGCCATAGAAACCAAAGTAAACTACTCTGCACTCCAAAAGAAATCCCCAATTATTTTCAGATTACCAAAATCTGCTTGATTAACATTACTAACAACTACATTAACTGCTGGTATAGACACAAAATCATAGTGATAATGATATAACATGCATATCTAATTTTTGTTTCCCTTATGCCCACCCCACCCCCTAACCCCAGGAGTATCAATAGTGTTTCCACACTTAGCTCCACGCGACTCGAACCCATGACCTACCGGTCATTGGTGAAGGTGCTCTCCCAATCCTTACTCGTCATAATCTATGAAGGTTTGGATAGTAAATGCAACAATGCCACAAGGGTCTAATGGAAACAACCTCTCTATTTTCTAACCTAAAAGGATATTTTGTAGCACACCTACTTTGGTTTTATCCCTTTTGTAGCACACTCACGGGTGGAGGTGAGGTTTGCGACTCCGCTTCCATCTTAAATTCTCTACACCCCACTTGTAGTTACTACACAGGATTTATTGTTGTTGTTGGTAATGGTAAGGTTGCATAATGCATACACTTGATCCCTAGATCCCAAAGGAGTTGAATTGTGCTAGATATTGTTGTTGCATATGTCACTAACATAGAAAACAAAATAGTAAGTTCTATAAACGATCTTTTATAACTAAGGATTTTCCATATTTAGTCCACGGTTATCAAATATTATGTTTGCAGTCCTTAATTTGGTTCCACTCCCAATTTAGTTCTCGGTTATGTTTCTGTGATTCTTCAGTTAAAATAAAGGGTTTTTTGTAATTTCACAAAAGTCTACTCCTCTACCCCTTAATCACCACCCTCCAGCCAAACATTATCATGAAAATTAAACCTTCCAATTTGCTTAGATAATTAAATCGTATTCCCAACGTTCAAAAGACAGGCCACACACGACCTAGGGGTCCTAGCAGCACGCTTTGAAGATTATCCTCAGCATATGCAATGTCCATGATCTTTTTCGTAGGAATGATTCAATTGAAGTATTTACTTGAAACATTAAAGTGATTAAACCTCTCTTGCTTTAAAAAAATTAATGCTTTTTGTATTTATTTGGCACATTACTTCTTAATGAATATCAATATCAACTAATTGCTCATTGTATCATATTTTTATTGAAAATGTATCATTTTGTTAGGGCTGAAGCTAAACTGAAAAAAAGGTAAAGAAAATTGCTAAACAGAAGAAAATTTAGAGGTGATTCCCAATTAAGCCAACTTGAGAACACGCATGATCCCTGATATTTAACTCATGGAGGCTTGATTAGAGTCACCTCCCAAATCTCTGGCAATGAACGCAGTGGGCAGTAGACTAGAGTGAAATTACAACAAAACCCTTTAATTTAAAGGTAGAAGCACAAAAACTTAACAGAAAACTAAACTGGGTATGGAACCATATTAAACAGACTGCAAACATAAAATTTGGTAATTGTGGACTAAATATGGAAGACCCCCTATCATAAAGGATCATTTATATAGAATTTACTCAAAACAAAATGGTGAGTGGCTTCGTTATCCATCGAAATAACAGTCCCACACTCCTACTCCTACATCCCTCCTATTAGATCACAAATACTAATCTCCCACGCTCCTATTAACATCACCATCCTCCCTCCTATATGAGTGTTTGAGAGAGAGTTATGGAAGTTAAATTCTTGAGAAGGAGAGTGGACTTATTAATCTGGACCAAAAGTCTTAATACACACTACCAAGATAATTTAACTAGCGAATTTGAGATTACGTTTCTTTTCAAACAGCAAATTATGGTTCAAAAAAAGTGTTGTAGAAAGAAACCTTAATATCCTCGTTAGAGACGCCATAATCAAGATTGGAAATGAAGATCTTCGTGCCAGTCTCAATAGAGGAGGCTCGACCACCTGCGGCGCTCGGGACGGGAAACCCCATCTGCTGGTCGGCGGAGAACATGTCGTGATTCCAAGCGGAGCTCGGTGCCTGAGCAGCAATCAATCGGAACAACTACTAAGCAGATGAAAATCAAAAGCAACCTCCAAGCAGGTTTAATTCGAGAACTGAATGTAGAAAAGGAGGGGAGACCTTGGGAGCTGCTGCGTAAGGTGCAGATCGGTTGGAGGAGCGGCTAGGGATCCGCCGAGCGGGTCCGGCGCCGCCGCGACCTCTGCCGCGAGAATTGGCTCCGCCGGAAGCCCTATTCTTCTTAATCAGATCGTCGAGACTCATGCTCAGAGACGCTTCCGCCATTGTTCTCTTCCCGAGCTAGAGAGGGATGGGAGCAAGTGACAGAGGGGTAGGGAGTAGGGTTCAAGCCTTATCAGGATGGGAGAAATTAATTAACCCCCCAAAAAAATGAAGAAATAAATACTCCGTAATTATTTTTACATGAAATCAAGAAATAAAAATAATAAAAAGGCTATATTTATTCCAGAGCCACCTCAAAATCAAATTACCAAATCCTGTCTAATAAGTTTTGAGAGAGATCCAAAACAAACGGTGTCGTGGTGTAGTTGGTTATCACGTCAGTCTAACACACTGAAGGTCTCCGGTTCAAACCCGGGCGACGCCAAACTCTAATTTTTATATGCGTATCATAAAAAAAAGGAAAAAAAATCTATATATAAAAAGAGGGCCCAAGATCTGCAGTCAAATGCTCTACCACTGAGCTATGGACCCTATTGCTTTTACATTCCTTGCCTTTAAATATATAGACGTTTCAATGAAATGATTATTCTCCCCCGCCTAGTCTTGTGGTATAGAGTTTAGGTATACTTGTGAGTTATGAGAAGTGCCAATTTTCACATTCAATGTATTTAGTATTTACGCATGGAATGCTTTTATGGTAATCATATGTAGATCCATTGTGAACCTTAGTTTAGGTTCACCATAGAATTCGTCTTGCGCATGATAGACTTTAATTGACTAAAATTTTGTCAAGATATAGAGTATTCTTTATATGTGTCAACAGCGTGATCTTTATTTTCTCACTCTAAAAGAAATTATATTTATAAAAACAAAAGATCAACCGATTAACACACGTAGAAAACTGCCAAGGCCAAGCGGTGCCCAAGAATGTACTTCAATTTCTTTTACAAGAAGACTAATAGCAACAACTTAATATTACGGCATATGAACCAAGTGATTGATGCCCGCCAATGTATTGGATCCATGTTCCATGTTATGGTTAGTAAAATATGCTTATCCAAAGGAGCGGGCACCGGAGCACCATCGGATCATCTCATGACATTGCCGGACAATGTCATGGGAATCGTCTCACTCATTTTATCCTAATAAAAAAAATTATCATTCATTTTTGTCTCTCGCATAATATAGTCCAACTGTTTTTTTAAACTAAAGACCTGTTCTTTTCAGTTGGAAGTCTAAAATTGAATGTTCGAAAAAATTAAATTAGAAAAAGATGACAGAGCACAAAAAATTAAAAACAAGTTGAAAAGTGTTAGAAAACCTAGGTTGGGTTTAGTGAGCAAATGAGATATATGAGGTTTGATGTCTCCACATATTAGTACTTCTTCCGTTCCTTAAAACCCTTCCGCCCTAAATTTTTGCGCACTTCATTAAACGTTTTTACTCCCACCTAAAATATCTAAAATATACCCCACTATGTAGTTTATTGCGGGTAGAAGTTGTTTTAGGGGTATTTTAGACATTTTAGGTGGGATAGAAGTATTTTATGGGGTGCGCAAAAAATTAAAACGGAAGTGTTTTGTGGAACGGAGGGAGTATATTTTTTTGTGATTGGTGAAACTAAAAGAGATATCGAGTTTGGTATCTTCATATATCATAAATCCTCCAAATAGACGGTTGCGTTATCTTCCAAATTTTGATAGATATCAAGATGAGAATTTGATATTTCTCTCAACAATTGACCATTCTCCATCACTGGCTATCATTGTCACCGCCAACCACTATCGTTGCGGATCACCCCACCCCCGGCTACTACTAATTAGATCATGACTTTAAATCTCTCCAAACAAAAAACAACATTTTTTAACACAAAAGTGTATTAATAGTCATGTCATTCATATATACAACAATGTTAGGGGTACACTAAGGAGTGTACCTCAAGTTGTATACCAAAAGTATGCTCAAACATTTTAATAATCACACTAGCACATAATGTAAATATGATTAAAATTTTCCGCGCTAGCATCCATCACACAAGTTAAAAATGAAAGTGCACATTTGTGGTGTATAATTTATTGTACAAATTTCAATATACAAGTAGCTTATAATTCAGATTATATACTCCCTATGTCCCAAATTTGTTGTCATTATTCCAACTACATACAAAATTAGTATGAAATATAAAATGTATAAATTACATATTAACAATTACAATGCAGAAAAATAAAAATTAACGAGAGTAGGTAATAGTGTAAATCATTCGGAGGAGCTAGCATTGAACTAGAGATAATCACTGAAATACCATGCATATTGATGAGGGAAGAAATATGTAATAGAGATCATGGATTACTACAAACTGTAGATTAAATACTTTGGGAGAAAATATAATCATCCATGTGCATGCATACATACATACATAGGGGCCGATTCCCGTGAGAATGCACCTTGTGGAGAAAAATGAGAATAAAATCTAGCCGTTAGATCTAATGCATCGTGCGGCTCAGATTGCATCATGCACTCAAATTTTGAGATAGTGCATTTTCAAAGAATTTTGGTGCATTTCAAAATGACGCATTTTCAAATCATTTTGGTGCACCTAATTTTGATGCAATCATCACTCTTAGATCTCACAATCTAAGACAACAGATTCATTCTCATTTCTCTTCTAAGATATATATATATATATATAATGGGTTAATAATTATAATAATTCTCAATTTCCCAGAAGCCTAAGCTCCGAATCATGAACGCAGAAGTGGAGACAAGAAGGCCGGCGAAGACAACAGGCACGACTAAATCCCAGTCGGACCGGCCCATCATGTGAACCGGCAAGCAAATCTTCTCAGGCGGGACGTCCAGCGGGACCCGGACAAACCCAGCGCCGCAAAACGAGGAGGAGGAGGAGGAGGAGGAGGGGGAAGTGGAGACGACGGAGGCATAGGCGAGCTGGGCGAGGGAGGAGGCGGTGCCGACGGTGACGATGAGGAGAGAGGTCCAGACGGCGGCGTAGAGGAGCAACGGCGGCCATGTCCGGGAGAGAGTGGAGGGGAGCAGTGATGCTTGGGACATGCTTGGATCATTCATGTAATTAGCGTGATGTGATTATGATTGTTGTAATGTGAGGGAATTGTATATAGAACAGAATGTGTGTTTGGATGGGTTATGGGTAGTTATAGAATGAGATTGGAGAGGGAAATGGGGGAACACAAGAAGAGGGAATGTGTAACTGCCTGCCTGCCTGCTTTCCCACCACGCCTCTCAAATTACCGTATTACCCTTTTGAAGTTACAGTGTCACACTTTCTTCGCTGTCTTCGCTTACACTACTTACCAAAGAAGTTCACTAAGATGAATCACGCTTGTTAGAGCATTTAGAATAGGGCAATTCTCGCCCGTCTTACCGTATCTGCATTTCACTAATTTTCAGTCTTACCGCTAGAATCCCGCAATATTTAGCCGGGGTATGCGACAGGAAGCTGAGGTTGCAACCATACTGCGCAAAAACAACGCCCCCTGCGTGCTGGGAAAGGGGGAAAACGGGACAAACTTCCCGCTCATCCTGCATCTCCTTCCTCTATTTTTTTTCCTCTTTTGGACTGTTTCTTCTTCTTCTTCTTCCCGTAGGGGAACACCGCCCCCTTCATTTTCCCTCCCCGTCTCGGTGGTCACTTGGCATCTCCCGTGCGGGAGGCACACCGCAAGGCCTTATTACCTTCAGAGACCCGCCTCTCTGTTTTTTTACATTATTCATCATCATTTCTTCAAAATTTAAATAAATTTAATGAAAAATTGTTTAGTTATAAAAATAGATCAAAATTGATTCATTCAAAAAAAAAACCAATAGTTGAAGCCAAAAAATGAATCAAGAAGAAGAAAGGAGAAGCCCAAAAAAATCTGCCTTCTCCATTGCAAATCAATCAATCGAGAAGAAGCCCAAAAATATGAGAAAAACACCTTGATTCCGTTTAAAAAAGTACAAACAGAAATCAATGGAATGCAGCTAAAATGGAGAGCAGAAAGAAGAGAACAAAATGGAATGGAGAAACAGAAAAGGAGGATTCCATTGATAGATTAAGGAAACAAGTAATAATCACTTTACATTAAAGCTGTTACTTCTAATCGGCAAATGATCACAACATTTCATCCCCAAAACGCAGAACCATAAAACCCTAGACGGAGACACAGATCAAATTGATTAATTCAAGAGCTGGTGAACTTAGTCACGGCCTTGGTTCCCTCAGACACGGCGTGTTTAGCCAATTCACCTGGAAGAACAAGCCTCACCGCAGTCTGGATCTCCCTGGAAGTGATCGTGGGCTTCTTATTGTAGCGAGCCAATCTGGAGGCCTCCTGAGCGAGCTTCTCGAAGATGTCGTTGATGAAACTGTTCATAATCACCATCGCCTTGCTGGAGATCCCGATGTCTGGATGGACCTGCTTCAGGACCTTGAAGATGTAGATCTTGTAGGTCTCGATGCTCTTCTTCGACCTCTTCTTCTTCTTATCTCCGGCGGCGGCAGCCCCGGCCTCCTTGGGAAGCTTCTTCCCGGCCTTCGGCTTCTTCTCCGCCTGAGTCGCCTTCTCGGCTACGGGGGACTTCGGCTCCTCCGCCGGCTTCTCGGCGGCGACCTTCTTCTCTGCAGCGGGCTTTTTGCCTGCCTTGGGAGCCATTGATGAGAGTAGAGAGAATTTGAAGGGTTTTGGGAGAGGGAAAGTCTAAGCAATGGAAATCGTCGAATTGAGTGCGATAAGAAAGAAAATGAGGTGGTTTCGCTTTTATAGAGGTGCTAGAACGGTGTTCATTGGATGATTGGTTACTGCGCGGATGGATGAGCTGGACGAATCGGAAGCGTTGATTTCGGGCGGGTCTTATTTTTGTTATCGACGGCTTGGAAAGGTTACACGTGGTGGTTTGTGACTAGAAAGCTTTTAAACACGCGGATCGTGGACTGGGTGGGAGTCCTCAAATACATACGGAGTAGAATTAATTCAGTATTCACTCCCGCCAATTGACAAAGCAAAATGGAAATGTAAAAAGGAGAAAATAGTCACACACAAAAAAACATTAAATGAAAAAACTAATCCGTAATTATTTTTACTTTTAATGAAAAAACTGAAACTTCACTATGTGTGATTTTTACTTTTAATGAAAAAAGATTGAATTGATACTCCAATGTATTTTAAATATTTACTCTATTTTTTATTAGATTCTAATTTGTCATCTGTATTACGGATTATTTTTAAAATTTTTCAACTTCTTTCAAGTTTCAATATCATCCAGTTTTCTATTTGTTCTATTCATCTCAATTTTTTGACTTCTTTCATTTTTTTCTAACATTGACCAAAAAAATTAGATACAATTTTCATATTATCCTTATTACAATTACTATTATTATTATTAACATCATCGTCAATGCCAATAAAATTAAAAACAAAGTCTTTTCACAGTTTACATAGAAAAAAGTAAATTATAGTTACGATTAGAAACTCAACATAAAATATTTATTAAATGTTGAGTTAGCTACTTAATTATATATTTTTCTTTGTAATTTTGTTATATATTCTATGACTATGTAGTTTTAAAATTACGTTAACTTGTATTGAATTTTAGTTTCTTAGATAATTAATTAAAATTTTACTACCCAATTCATTTATTTCAAAACTTATAAAACAACTATGAAGCTTGGGGCTTCAAAATTTCTCCTTCTTCCATGTCAGCTTTAACTTACCTCACAAATTTAATGGAAATGAGTTTGAAGTTCTCGGGCTTCAAACATGGGCTTCAAACTTTTATTTTTTACATTTTTAAATAAACATCTTCTAAAACTAAATAAATAAAATTTAATTATTTTATTATTTAATTATTTTATTATTTAATTATTTAATTATTTAATTATATTCAAACCAGAATAATTACATTCATTAAATTAAAATAAATTGAATCGACAATAATTTAAAAAATTACATTCATTAAATTAAAAAAAAAGAAAGCGGCAATAATAAAAAAAATACATTAATAAAAAACTAAGTTAATTATATTTAGCCTTGATCTCTCCTTGTATTCTCTCGAAAATCATACGTTTGAAGGCCGATAACGTAGAAAGGTCGGTTTCCATTATTTCGATCTCGTCCTTCTCTTCCTCTCTTCCAGCCCACTCTTCCTTTCGAATATTGAGCAACCGAAGTTATTCAACCATTGCCCGGCTGATATCATCGTGAGAAGAAACGGAAACAGAGTTGGATCCTCTTGAACCCGGGGCAATGGATTTTTCCTTCTTTCTTCCGATCGGCCATGGAATGGGGTCCTCGTCATCGTAATCCGCAACATTGAAGGGAGGCCTTTGCTCGGACGAACCGATAGTGTCATCGACCTCAACCTCGGGGTCGACGAAGGATCTTTTCTTTGACGATCTGGTGTCAAAATTGTTGAGTTGTTGCCACTTCGATAAACGGCTCAAAATCCTCCAAAGATTAATGGGCACCTTGCCTTGGTGCCCGTCATCTTGATACCGGGTCGTGGCAAGCTGGAGAACATCATCGTCATTCGTCCCGCTCCTCTAGGACCGGGCGCATTCCACGTAAACTCTGATAAACTTTCTGACTTTACGGTTGATGTCGCTCCATTTGGAAGTGAGTTGGTACCGGGTACGGTAGAAGGCGTTCTTGTTCATCGCCATAAAGAACTTCTCCTCGATACGATCCCACATCGCATCCCTCGTTTACTCTGAACCTTTAAAAAAGTATAACACGAAAATTGTTTTTAACACAAATATATAACACGATTATATAAATAAAAACATAAATATAATAGAAAAGATATAATTTTTACCGACGATAGGCTGCTCGGAGACGTCACCCAAGCCGACGCCAACAAGTACTCTTCCTCCGGCGTCCACTTTTGGACTGATCGTGCCGCCTTGGCCATCGCTTGAATGTCTTTCGCTTTGTGGCTCTTCCGACGTACACTCTTTTTGGTGCCGGATGGTTGAAGTTGAGTCTCCGGAACTGACTCCCACTCATAAACGTACCCCGATGGTTGCATCTCGAACATCGATGGATTACTCCCGTATTGTTGGAAGACCCACATGGCGTGCTCGTTAGTCTCAAGATCGTCGGAGAAAAACCCGGAGCCGGATGGATTCATTTTGAAAAGAGAGTTGGAGAATTGAGAATTGAAAAAGATGTGAAGAAGATTGAGATTGGAAGATGTGAGAATTAGAGGAGATGGAGTTTGAAATTTATAAAAAAATTAATTAAATTTTTTTTATGGTTGCAACGGCAAATTTAGTCGTTAGGAGGGGAGGGCGCAGCGTCAAACGTATGACGCCGAGTGGATGAAGCCCGTTTGACGCCCTAGGGGACCGGGGCAATGTTTAACACCCCCGGCATTAAAAAAGGGTTGACGCCCACCGGCGTCACACCCGTTTCCACTACCCTTAGTTTTCTTGTTCTATTATTATAATGATTCTTTATTTTGCTTTGGTTATGATTTCCTTGCATCCTCTATTTATCAAATGTAATCTTCATTATTTAATAAGACTAATTATTATCATATTCTAAATCGTAGCAGAGCTAATGTTTTCCTCTTAAAAGATACTCCCTCCGTCCATGTATGATCTTCCCATTACGCGTTACGAGGCTTGACCGACTTTATTTTCAATTCAATTTAATTGATTATAGGAGTAAAATTTTAAAATAAAATTTATATAGTAATAAACTACATGAAAAGTTCTACAAAACTAGAGGTGACAAGACTATATTATTTTATGAAATGACTAGTAAAATTGAGCAAACAAAGTGAGTAAAGTTTGACCATGTGAATAGTGTCTGGGAAGATCTATGGTGGACAGAGGGAGTAGTTCTTTTCTTTAATTTTGATCTTGCACCACCATCAATCTTCATCGTCGACGGTTGGCCGCCATAGATCTTGGCCTCACCGCCTCTTATCATTTTCTATCTCTAAACAAAAAAATGTGTGCATGATCAAAGAACTAAAAAGTTGCATTTGCCAATGTTTCTTCTAGAGAGAGGGAGAGAGATGAAGTGCAGGAAAAGCGATAGAGAAGAAGATCGAGAATGGCGCACAATGCAACACTCTAAGTTGTATAACTCGAATCAGCGAGTTAACGAACTAGGTTTCAACTCATTTGGTATTCACATGTACAATATTTTAAAACATTTAAAAATATAACATCCATTCATACTCCCTCCCTCCGAAAAAAATGTTATGTATTCGGCCGACTCTCACGTTCCTTGGGGAAGTATTTGTAGTCTCCTCACATAACTTGATCATGATCCACATTTTCATGTATTCGGTCGACTCTCATTAGGTACATAAACCCGCCCATTATGCTCACGGGTTGTCCATGGGCTTCTCTTTTTGTAAGCCTTTTTTGAAAAATTACATTTCCAAGGCATTAATCTAGACAAACATTAATTCATTAAAGTCTAAAATCTAGACATCATTTAAGCAAAATCGGAGTGCCTATTTCATAAGGTAGAAAATAAAGCTGCTAATAATCAAAATCAGCACAGAGAATGGTGTTGAAAATGGAGACGAAGAACAGAGAAGGATTCCATTCATAGATAATCAAAACATGTAATAATCACAAAAAAGCAAAGCAGTAACTACTAATCATCCTAATTGACATTCTCATTGCCCGATTGGTAAACCCTAGATAAAAACAGATCAAATTGATTATTCAAGAGCTGGTAAACTTCGTCACAGCCTTGGTTCCCTCAGACACGGCGTGTTTGGCCAATTCGCCGGGAAGAACAAGCCTCACGGCAGTCTGGATCTCCCTGGAAGTGATCGTAGGCTTCTTATTGTAGCGGGCCAATCTGGAGGCCTCCTGAGCGAGCTTCTCGAAGATGTCGTTGATGAAACTGTTCATGATCACCATCGCCTTGCTGGAGATCCCGATGTCTGGATGGACCTGCTTCAGGACCTTGAAGATGTAGATCTTGTAGGTCTCGATGCTCTTCTTCGGCCTCTTCTTCTTCTTCTCTCCGGCAGCAGCAGCGCCGGCCTCCTTGGGGAGCTTCTTCCCAGCCTTCGGCTTCTTCTCCGCCGGAGCCTTCTCGGCGGCGACCTTCTTCTCTGCGGCCGGCTTTTTCTCTGCCTTTGGAGCCATTGATGTGTTAAGAAAGGATTTCGAGGTTTGAGAGAGGGAAGGTTTTAACAGAGCGAAAGTAATTGAGAGCGATGGGAATCAAAAATGATGGGTTTGGCTTTTATAGATGGGGCTTAGATCTTGGATGAGACGCGGATCGATGAGCTGGACAAATCTGAAGCGTCGATAACTGACGAGTCTAATTTTGACATCGACGGCTATGATGGGACCAGATCAGGGATGGGCGGTTCACGCTACACGTGGTGGCTTGCGATTGGGTATCTAGTAAGCACGCGGATCGTGGACTGATGAAATCAAATTTGGTGAGTTTTGGACTTGCGCGCGCGACGTACTTTTAGAAATTTCAATCCCGCCAATTAACCAGGCCAAAGATTAAACTTCAATCCAAATCGATCTACTCCGTATGTCACCCTTTTGATTGTGTTCAATTTTTTTTATACTAATAACTTTATTATAATGTAATATTTATTTGTAGCATACAATATACTCTCGTCGTCCCCAATTTGATTACAAATTGCGGGTTACGGAGTAAAAAAATTTACTTTTTGAAATCATTTTATTTACAAATTGGTATATCAATAAGATATAAAAATTACATATTAAAAATCTACTTCAAAATTCTACAAAACAAGAGGTGACCAGAATATTCTATTTTATCAAATACTTAATGAAATCGTGTAAACCAACAAAAGTTATCGAGAGGAGATAGAAAAAAAATTGTAATCTATTTAGGGACGGTGAGAATAGTATTTATTCATTCATTTTTAAGCCATTAAAACAAATAATAATTTATAGTTGCTCCTTTGAAATTAAAAATTCCATATTTAGTTCTTAATTATCAAATGTTATATTCGTGATATTTCGTTTATTGGGTTATGATGAGAAATAATACGTGACTCGATCTACATTTCTCAATTATTTTCAAAAAAATAATCAAACTGGATCTGTTTAATAAATTGAAAGAATAAGAGAATATTCTTCCGTAGATGCTCCTGCTACTCATACAAAAGAATGCCTTATGGGCCCTTACTTCACCAAGAGGGGAAGGCCAATTCCCTCTCCCTTCCCACTTCTCTCTCTAGAAAGCTTTAGAGTGTATTTTCTCTTATTCTTCAAGAGCTCAAATGCTCCATTAATGACTTCTACGCTTAAATCATGTATCATGTTCACACCCTGATATTAAAAAAAATCTCCATTGGCAAGGTATCACCAAAAAAGGTCTGTAGTTTTCTCTCGATTTGGGTTTCCACATCAAAATCCTTATGTTTTATATTTTGGTGTATTTTTAAAATTGGTTTATCATTTTTGTCTGGCTAAAAATGATATACCAGTCAATAATTTACACCATCGGGTTCCCTTGTACGAATATCTCTTTGTTTGACATCTCGTCCTGTTACTGTTAAGTTAAGGGCGAACTGTAGTTTGGGGTGGAAAGGTACCCGTAAATGAAAGTGAACATTACTCCGTATTTGATAATAGATGGGTAAACAGGACGGTCTAGGGTGAAACATATGCTTAAAGAGAGTTCAAACATTTCGAAACACCCTAACCCGCGTAATCAAAATAAACAAGTCGACAAATCAGTTTGTTATTCAATTGGTACCCACACGCCATTAAGTTCCAGAAAAATTAAAACAAACCCACTAATTGTACATTTTGTACTTAATCAAAATCAATCAGAGTAATTTAAACAAATATTTGCAGAAGCCTCCAAGGAACCGCCAGAGAAAGACGTTTTCTGCGGAGGAGATGGTAGTTAGCCTACCTTTCCGGCGGTACGGCCTACCGTGCCGGTGGTACCAAGGAACATACTAGAAGAATAAATGGGAATGTTTGGTGGAGAATTGAGAAAGTTTGAGTACTCATTATCTAGGAGGGTGAAGGAAGATCGAAGAAGAAGCTATGCTGTTGCGTCATTGCTTGATCAATAAATCCTTCAGCGGCAGTAGTGCAATTTTGGTTGATTTTATACGTCATTGCCTGATTAGGACTAATTTGGTCTCAATTGGGGTACACTTTTTGGTCCAACTTTCTTCGAATTAAATTCCGGTTGAATCCTTGTAGTCAGGCAGTCAAACTATATACAGCGATATAAGTCTCATTATTTATTGACAAACTTTATAAATCATTTATTTTTGGGTCATTCTTATTAATTAGTTAATTATTAGTTATATAATTCAAATAGGCTTATTTTCAGGGTCTATATTAGTATTTATGTTCATGAATTTGTTATGATTGATATACGTGAAAACTTATATGTTCCTGAAGTTTACCCGCAACAACACCGACATGACCCTTGGTGTGAAAGGGGTGATTGTCCTCAGGATCGTTTGGTTGTAGGGTGAGTTGGTCTCCATTTGACGTTTGAGCTAGGCAACTTCTCGCGCGAGGCGAGACATACTGTGCTCCAAGCCTTTCGTTTTTACTATCTTTGTGGGGCTCCGGCAATGCTGGGTTCGCTCGTCCCGTCGCCCGTCGGTAAGCCCGTGCCTACCCAAACACGCATTTGAGGTGGCTGATTCCTTAACATGCCTACGCCTCCCCTATGAGATGTGACAATGTAAATCGCCTTGGCGGACGTTGCACCCTTGGTTGAGCTTGTCGATAGTCGACACACGGGTTTCTTCTCCCCCTAACCTCTTGAAGGCCGACACTCGACCCTCACAGAAGTCGTCATCCTCTCTTCTTGGGGATATCTTCAACAGTACTTCCACTACTGGGTCTTGCCCGGCCTCATCCGGCTCCTCCGGGTCCTCTTCCCCTTGTGCTGGGAAGTGGCAACATGCTTGATAACAGGGTTCCCTGGAGCCTGGGTGGCTTTAGTGCCGCGATCGCTTCTGTCGATGGCAGAGAGGGTAGATGCAACGGCAGCGTGGAGCTGCTCCGTGGTCATTCCCATCCCGAACAACGTTTGGCCTGCATCGGGAGTCGAGGTGAATGTCCCGGTCACGTTTTCGTTAGCTGGTGGTGGGAACGTTGCTCCTTGTATGCACCATTATCGTTCCAAGGAGTTAACCTACGAGTATGTTTTTCCCCTCTCAATGAAAGCACCAATTTGATGACAATAAACCACCGAGTATGCCGATCGTGGGGTTGGTGAGCTGCGTAAGCTAAGGAAGTAAAGATAGATAGATAGATAGAGTGTGTGTGTGCGCGCGCGCAATGTAGGAATATTATTAGCTTAGATTCAAAACCCTACAAGTCTAATGCATACGGCTATTTATAGGCCTTACACTGTACAACGGCAATAACCATGACTTGAAACATGCTTGTCGCCCAGCTCTTGTCTTGGTCTCTAAGAATACTTTTTTTGCATCTTAAAGGCATTAAGATAACGTGTTGATGATGATGATGATAATAATAATAATAATGATTTATAACAGCAATTATTTAAAATAAATTTTTTAAAAGTTTTTTTAGATTTTCTAATTTTTTGTAGTTTTTTCAGTTTCTTCCAGTTCTTTATACTTTCTTCTAGTTCCTTTTAGTTTCTTAGAGTTTTTCTAGTTTTTTCGAGTTTTTTCTAATCATAAAGAATATGCTCATAGATAGGTAGGAACCGTTAATTTTATGAATGAGACACCAAGACATTCCGAGATTCCATTGATTTCCAATGGGTAGGTATAATTTTTTAAAGAAAAATGCTAGGGGTACACCAAATGGTGATTTGGTGTATCCTATTTATCCCCCATCCCCTTCTTGCCCACACAATTGAGCAAGAAAATTAAAAAAATAAATAAATAAAAATTAATTAAAATGGATGGTGAAGAAGAGTATGGTGTACAAATAGGGTACACTTTTGGTGTACCCTAACATTCCTCATTTTTAAATAGATGTTTGGTTAGATTTTTTGTTACTCATAACACAGTTATTTAATCATCTGACAGTTGTACAAAACGTTTGAATCAAAAACTCGATGTGAAGGGAATTATGACTCTCTTTGTTTTCTTTCCTCCAATAAAACGCAGCCACCGAATGCATAGCTGTTTCTCGCTGTGGGCGCGTGGGAACAGCTGCAAATCACGCGGCGCTAACGTGCGCGCTGGGCAGCGCATGTTAAATTGCGTTACCCTTCTCCTATAGTGGGGGGTTCGCAGAGCGCACCATAGCCATTTCTCTCTCTTTCAGATTTTCAGGTAAAATCCACACCTCTCTTTCTTCTCCCTCTGTATCATATATTACGTGTATGTCGCTGCTAACCTGATGCTTTTCTGTGTTGTAATGTAATTAGAGGCGGGCCGCGTGCGTATAGGTCGGCATTTGGTTATCCATACAAAGGATTTGTGACTTTTTTTGTTTTGTTATTTTTTTTTGGAGATTTTTGAATCGATCGGCGCCTCAATGGCCGCACCTCCGGCGAGAGCGAGAGCGGACTACGATTATCTCATCAAGCTCCTCCTCATCGGCGATAGCGGTCAGTTTTCCTTCCCGATCCGTAGTTTTGATTGTTATTTGAATCATGCGATGCAATCTGAGAATATTTTATGCGATTTAGCTCGCGTTGAGAAGAGATGTGACGTTTCGTAGGATCCAGTTGACTTTTGATGCAATCGTGGATATCCATTTAGGTTTCAACATGGATCGCTTTCGGTTTCCTTTTTAGATTTAGTGATTTCTTCTGGTGAATTGGGCTATAGATCGATTCCTTAGCCTTTGATTTTAATATTCTTTTGGTTTTTTTAGAAAAGCATAGGACGCCGGATTTGTGATCTCTTTTGGTGCTTTGCCTGATCTTCAGTGTACCAATCGAGCGAGTCTATTAGTGTCTATGGTCGATAGTAATCTGCACTCATATGATTTTCTATAAGACTATTATCATACTTTTCTTTCACCATGGATGGATTGATGCTTAAGCAGTTAAGCTTTAGTGTAGGTGTCACCTTGGGTCTCTATTTCGTGCACATATCTTAATCAAATGGAAAGTTAGCGCTAGGATCTGCACATGTAGATGAAAATGTTCATTTGCTCCCTGACATGCATCTAAACATCTTTGATGAATGACCCAATCAGGAGACCTTAGATGTCTGCAGAAATGTGTCAGTCTATGTACTTTGATTTTTCTATGAGTGTGGGTGCTATCTGTAGATTCATGATAATGCTCTATGTATTCCCCTTTCTTCTGTGTTTTACTA